GCATTGCTAACTGACCCAACTGCTAAGTCAAGTGGCCTTCTCCTTTCATTTTTTTCTGCAAGTATTTATAGGTCTGGAAAATTTACGGAAATTTATGACACAACATTGAAAAGTCGTACTTCTCATTTCTAAAGTAAATATTTTCAGGGCTCACAAATTCACTGCCCTGTGTCTTATGGAACAGGCAGTTGTAACGCATACAGAAGAGACTTGAGTCTAAAAAAATACTTCATAACAAAAGGAAAACTGGGAAAGGAACCAAAATGGAGCAGAAATATACAGAAATACATGGAAATATATAGAAATACACAGAAATATACAGAAATACACAGAAATATACAGAAACAATTGTGAGGGGCATTAAGCATTAGTAATAGAAGTATAACAAATTTTGAGAAATTATTTTCCCTTTGATTCACAAATAGAACTAAAAATGATAGGGGCATCAATAGCTAAAAAACCCAATAATGTCTCGAAGGAGGAATAAGGAACCTTGACCTGCATGCTGAGAGACTGTGCTGTGTAGCAGAAGGGCACCCAGCGCCCAGCGTTCGCCAGCCTGGTGACTACGAACAACTGCAGAATCGCTCTGAGCCAGGGTCCCTCACCTCCCAATGTGGAAAGCTATTCCAATCCTGTGGGCTTGTGGGAGGCTCAGAGAGAAGGATGTCAAGGCATTGTGTAAACTATGAAGTGCTGTGCAAATGCGAGGTGTTGTTATTATGACATCAGTGTTTCAGCATCTAAATTATAGGGACAGCACACTTATTACCAGCATGTTTAAATACGTATCTCGCATATATTTAGATTTGTTTTTAATTTCACAGATGTTTTCAGCTGGAAGCAGTCTGAAGATTGTGTAGTTTAGCTATTTTATGGAAGGTAAGACTGAGAGGGGAGACTCTAACCTGTTTTCTCTCCCGTTTATAATAACAAATTACAGAAAAAAATATGATAAGCCATGTACTAAGAAAGATTCCCTTAGCAACACCACTTTTCAGGGAAAAGTGTTGACTTGTATAGCTATGAATACTGAGTGTGTTTGGTAGTTTCTAACTTTCAAAAATTATATAGTATATTTTCAGTCATCTGACAAAGGTTTTCACCTGCAGTTCTTTGTAAGGTTTCATTTCCAGTCATTTGTCAACATTTTTCTTTCTCTGTGAAGGTTAATTTATAACAGCTTGCAAGAAAGAAGTAGAGAGAAAGAGAAAGAAGGAAGGGAAGAAGAAAGAAAGAAAAGAAGGAAGAAGAAAAGGGAGTGAAGAAAGAACACAGGGCAATATACTATTCTCACTCATAAATGTCACCAGCTATAAAAAAATCAAGAAGTATCTGTAAGGATAAGGTTTCTGGTTCTCTGTTAACATTATAGCAAATTGAAGCCAAGAAAAAGTTCTCTAATGCATTCTATTTAAAAGCCCCTCAAAATCAGTACCTTACAAACCAACAGGTGGTAACAACAATTCTCCGATGACCACCTTTTTGTTTTTCAGAGGAAGTCTTGCTCTGTCATCCAGGCTGGAGTGCAGTGGTGTGATCTCAGCTCACTGCAACCTTCGCCTTCTAGGTTCAAGTGATTCTCCTGCCTCAGCCTCCCAAGTAGCTGGGACCACAGGCTTGGTATTTTTTATTTTTATTTTAGTAGAGGCGGGGTTTCGCCATGTTGGCCAGGCAGTTCTCAAACTCCTGACCTTGTGATCCTTCTGTCTAGGTCTCTGAAAATTCTGGGATTAGAGGCATGAGCCACCACACCTGGCTGACCACCTTTTGTTTATCTGTCATACATTCAGACTTAATTAAAAGTGGATGACATTGGGGTTCTGGGGTTTTAATTACCTATAAACAGATAATTGTTTAACTTTTTAATAGTGTATTAAAATAGACTTTATTTTAAAAATCTAGTTGGAATCATTAGATCTTGCAAGTTAGCACTAGAGCAAACCTCAAATAGTTTGTCTAATTTATCTTGTTAAGCACAATTCAAAGCATATAAAACAGCTTACAGTGTATGAGAATGAACTAAGAGATAATTTTGTAAGTGAGGAGAAACCATTGTGATAAAATCTCCTGAAAGCTTTCAGGTATTCAATGTTTGCTGGTAAATAAACAAATCTAGGTTTTTGACATTAAAAAAATTTTTTTTTGAAAAGCTTTCTAAAATTTGGTATACCATGATCAGAAAACCTCAGGACATCTTTGACTGTCCTTAAGGACCTGCACAAATTCACCAAGTAGTTTATTTTTATCCCAGGCACTAAAATAATGGATATTTTGAGTATCAGCAGAGACACTAAAACATGCACAGATTTTCACATACAAATGTCAGTTTGTCTTATCAGAGAGACTATGGGCAATGCACCAATTCTATCCAAAACCTGGAGTAAAAGAAATACATTTCAGCAAAGGGTCATAATGACATCATAAGTAAGACAATAGGACTGCTAAGACCATCATAACGTCATCCACTGTGTGCAGGCCTGCAAGTCCATAGCGGTAAAATCATCAGATATCACATTTCTGCTTATAAAATAAAATCCTTCATGAAGGCTCTTAAAACAGCTGCAAAGCAAGCAGTGATCTTTATTTCCATATATATTTATGAATTATATGTTTATATATATATATATATATATATTTGTTTTACATAAAGGCATGAATACACAAGGTAACACCAGCAGCTGTATTCTATCCTTCATTGGTTACAAATGTACCTATTTGTTTCCAAATGATCTCTGCAAATAAAGAGATAACATTGTACTACTTTCAACAGAGAATCAGAAAATAGATGTTTCTTCTAAATCACAAGTACCAATGGCTTAATTAGTTTAAGGATCATTTTTCTGAGTTGTGTAGTTTCACCTGTATTTGTCATGTCTAGAACTGTGCAAACTTTTGTTTCATTTCTCTCTGATTTCTGTGGGAAGAGTTAGACGACGTGAAGTAGTAGTCATTTTGCTTATTCATAACACGTTTTAGGGAAAATCGTGCTGCTGGGGAGAAAGTTAAAGCTCTCAACCGTAATCTAGACCCTCGTCCAATTTTTTCACCTCTGGTTACTACTTTAAAAAAGGATCATTTTAGTTTTTAAATGTAGAATGGGTTGCACTTTACCTTTGACATTGCAAGTTTCTTCATGGTCATTTAGGAAAATAAAGCAGGAAATTCTAACGCCTTAGCATCTACTTTAATAAGATGTTTGCATTTACAAAAATAACAAGAAACTGAGGGTTTGTGGAAGGAACACAGGGCCTACAAGTATATCCTCATTCCTGTCGCTTTGCCTGGAGGCGAAGCTAAGCATTATCTTTCTGAGAAACTGCCCCTATTGCAGAGGTAGAATTAGTCAGCCCCTCTTCTGGGCTCCCACTGAAATCCCAAATCACATCTGTTATAAAACATTGCATTACAGGGAGTGATCACGTATATCTCTCTTGGCCCTTCCAAAAGGCAAGTCCCTGGAGGACAAGTGCAGCTATTTCATTCCCTTGGTGTACCTAGATCCCAGCCTGGGATGTGTCTGGAGTTTATCAGCAGTTCTCAAGCTGTGGCGTGCATCAGTCAGAATCTCCCTGAGGACCTGTGTGCACAGACCAGAGCCTGCCCCCCAGTATCTTACTCAGAGGCCAGAGAGGGATCTGAGAGTGTGCATCTCCAGCAGGTTCCCAGGTGCTGCTGCCGTGCTGGGCCCAGCGAGAGCCACTGCAGGAAACTCTTTTTTTTTTTTTTTTTTTGGCAGTTAAAGACAGGTTTTCTTTAGTTAAAACCTGAGAGGCTCTTCTGGCTAGCATGTATCTAGTTGGGGAGGAATTTGGAATGTTTCTGGTTGGAGATGTTATTTGTGGTTTACGGTCGTGCTGACCTTAGCCATTAGGCTGATGCCCTTTGGATTTAGGCAGTGTTTTATTAAGGTGAACTTTAGAATGAGGGGCTTATCCAAGATGGCCACACTCCTGCTCTGTCAAGCCAGACCCTATAGTTATAAAAAGGAGGAGGGACAGCGTGTTCTTTCTGGCTACTTCCTCACTGCGGGAAACTTCTAATGGACTAACTTATGAAATAAAATGTGACTCTGGAACCGGTTTACTAATGGAATACGCAACTGTTGCTGGATCTCAAAGGAGCTCATGAGATGGGCGAGAAATGGGGGTCTGAGAGCAAGGACAAGATATCTTCCGTTACAAGCTACATACAACACACAATCCGGTCCTCAGAATTGCCCAGAGGGCTTTATGAAATGTGTGTGTGCCAGGCTCCGTTCCCCAGAAATACTGATAGCCCTGGTATGGGGCACAGTAAGGCACCCTCTTTTTCAAAAGCCCCTCAGCAGGCTACAAAGCACGGTCAAGGTTCAAAAGTTACTGCTTTGATAAAAAAAAATCATCTCCTACTTTTTTTGGTTCAGTCACTAATGTACAAAACCAAGTAATATGATGCTGTCTTAAACAGGAAACAAGAGATCCCCATTCTGAGGACTGGCAGCAATATACACATGATTAACGTTACACTTACATGTACAATATTCCATATTATCAGTTGTTGATAACTGCAACTAATCAGCTGCCAACTATAGCAGCCTCACCTAGAGGGAAGCTAGTATCCAGAAGCCCTGGTGTGGCTCAATTTTGATGCTGAACATGGGCGTGAGACAGGTGGAGCCAGGAAACTGTGAGGGAAAAAGATGTCATGTGACCTGACAAGTAACTGCCATAGAAATATCTGAGCAAATGACAATGCTAGCCACATTGCTCACCTGGGCTCTGGACCGGCATATTCTACTGCCTCCTAAACTTCTCTATCTGAGCACTTCAGGCTCAACAACATCTACAAGCTGAATATTCATATTGGACTATCCTACCCTTCCCCTCCCTGCCCTTCCCTTCCCTGCAGTCCCGTTGACTTCCCAGCCTTTCTGATTGCATTGTGTATTCATCCGGGCTTCCAAGTGAGAAGACTGGGTGCCACTCTGGGGTTCTCTCTTTCTTATGCTGCTCCATGTGCTTATCAACCAGTTCTGCCTCCTGATCAGCCCCGGAGTCCGCTGTCCTGAATCTTCCTGCTCCTGCTTCATCCACTGTCTTTGGCAATAGTCAGGAATCTTCTATTTCCACTGCCGCCCCTGCAGTCCATCCCCCAAACCTCTGCTGCAGCCATCTTTCTAAAACACCAAGCTCAGCATGTCAGTTCACAGTCATTTTTCTTTCACACGGGACAAAATCCAAAGCCACAGTGAGGATGGAGCTCCCTGTGAATTGTAGGTAGCTTCACCGTTTATTCCTTCTCATCCTGCCACTGGAATTATTAGCACTCTCAAGAACTTTGTTCCTATTGGCACTGCTTGTGTAATGTCCTTCACATCCTATTCTCGGGGGAATAACCGTATAACCAAATAGCTCGAATGAGTAATCCCTTCCATTTGTGGCTAAACCTTCGCTCCTCTCCATGTAGAATTAAAGACAAAAACGGAACTCAAAAGTCATTCTTTGTCCTGGGAAGATTTTTGTCATTGCTTCTGTGACATTGTTCCATGCTTATCATCTCTAGCTCCCTCTTCCCCCAGTTGACTTCCAGACAACTTAAGGACAAGTACCAAGTCTAATTTATTCTCAAATCTCAACATGTGGATGGAACAGTGCAAATCACTCATCATGGCTCAAACATAAAGAAAATATGCAAATAAGAGCCTATGTTGTAATAGGTACCAATACTTGCCCTTCTACTCAAAGGGCAAACAATGAGGGTTGACTTACGTAATTATTTAAACTAAGTCAGGGTCATGTGTGCTGCCCTGCTAGTAATGGTATAATTGCAGGTGTACTTGTGGCTGTCTGCAAGCCATTCTCATCAAGTGCCTCGTCCCCTACATTATAACTCGAGTCTTTTGTTAATGAGAAGTTCCAGATATATTCAGAAAGGATGCTTGGACTTTGGGTTTCTCCCTGACAACCCACCAGAATGAGATAAAACTTGGATCAGAGAGAGAAATTCCACTGCCCCGTGCTAGCGTCTCCATACTGATTGCTAAAGCAAGCTAATGAAACTGGTAGGAGTAAAATTTATTCTAAGCACATGTAATTCACAGATGCTCAGTCCACAGGGCTAGTCATCTGATACTGCACTTCAGGGCCGTCAGGGATTGAGTCAAATCCAGCACTTACTTTCTAGGGGCTCAGTAAACACGCCCCCGATATTCCTGGCCCGAACTACCCCTCCTGCTCCCAGCTGGCTCAGGGAACTCTCTAGACAAATGGATTGAGTGTATCTATCTAAATGTGTAGCAAGGAAGCTTTACCAGATGACTCTGAAAAAGTGAAAATTACAAGCAAACTAGTTATTTGAATACGTTCCAATGCCTGGATTCTTGCCCAAGTTCAAACTAGCCAGCTTGTGCCTATGGGCCCAACGGAGGACAATCTAGAGATGTCGTCCAAAGAGCTAACTGCTGGAATTTTCTCAGAAAATTCAGCCCTGTAGGAGAAAATGTAAAAGAAGGAATGAGAAGACACTATGACCTTTAATGGGAACGGCCTGCAGGAACAAGCTAAGATTTACGCTTGATTTTCTATGGGTCAGTGGTTCAAGAATAAACCAGTAATAATTAAACTGAGACTAAAAATGTTTCTTACCATAATTTCGAATGGCCATAGGTGACAAAAGAAAACAAAAGGGAATGGATCTGAGGAGCAGAATCTGGTTTTAAAAATTGTACGTACAGGGAAGCAATGTTATGGGTGAACCATATTCTAAAACTTTGAAATTCTGTCAAAACATACCCCTGTCAGTCAAACCTAATGTTAAATAAGCTCATAGAGTACTTACAAAGTCAAAATCGAACACACACACACAGACACACACCAGTACACACACACATACACACACACAGACACACACCACTTTCACAGCAAGTCACATGGCAAAGACCACACTGTGCTGCAGGTGGATTCTGCAACAGGCGAAATGTCCTCAACATTATGACCCATCCCTAATCCGGGACAACAGTCTGGGGTTACCTTCCCTTCAGTGCCCATAATCATTAATTGCCTTTATTTTAGGGCTAGTTTGTCACTCTAGTCAAAAAAGTTTCAGACGCTAGCTGCTAGTCTTGGAGCTTAGATCAAAGTAAAAACAAGGAATATTTTCTTTTCAAACAGAGAGGAATCCTTCATCTTTACTGAGACGTCTAAAAACATTTCAGAACATGTTAGTGCTGTCACGTGGACCAAGTGTAATTATGCAGCACAATGGACTTTTGGCAATAGGTGCCTTCAAACCAGAAGTTTTTGAAAAATTATGAATTATGAAACTAACTGTGTGAAGCTAGAGATTACTGTTAAAAGCCCATTGGAGATCTTAGCCAGTTTCTTGTAGTCTGTGCTATGCCATGGTCAGTCTAACACACAGACCACCGGTCAGCTTTCCAGATTTGAAAAGCAATCTGGAAGCAAGAGCAGAAACCCTTAAAACTCAACCCCTTTCACCCTTTAACCCAGAAAATCTAGCATATTCTATGCACTCAGTAAATATTCACTGAATTCAGAAACAACAGGTCAGAAGCCTGAAGGGTCAAAGTGACTTGTCCACCCTCACCCTGAGCTGGAGTGAGAAGAAAGGTCCCCAGTTGACAGGCCCGGCTTGGGCTTTCCAGATCTGACCTCTTTCAAAGAGGAAGGATGGTAGATCTCACTTTGGATACCATTAACATCCCCACTTTGGATACGATTAACATTCACACTTTGCATTCTCTTTAAGACAGCTCAGGCCTACTGAATGGGAATGTCTCCAGAAGTGGGGCTGGGCAGGCTTATTCCCACAAAGCTCCCTCAGTAGGGAATTCTGACTCCCCTTGGAGTACTTCCCAGGGTCCCTTCAGGGGAGCACCTTTACCACTTCATCCTGTAAGAGTCAGGGGTTTGCTCAGCATCCCTCAAGCAGGTTCCACTGCACGCTCACTGACCTGGGGACTGAGCAGCCTCCATGGAAAGTGACCAGACAGAGGGCCGAAGAACTCTGCAGGAACGCAGATTGCTGGACAGCCCACGCTTGTTCAAGCTTCAGACAGGGGCCCATCTTCATGAGCCGGCTTTCTGGGCCCTTTCCCCTTGCTAGCTCTGACATTAAACATTCGCACACACCTGACCTGGATCTCCTGAAACCAGAACTCGGACGAGGCAGTGGCATTTGGAAGTTGAGAGACGCATCTGGAGTCAGAAGGCCTGCGTGTGAATTTCACGTCTGCCTCCTATCAGCTGCGAGAAATTCACTTTAATCCTTTGTACCTCAGTTTCCCCCATAGGAGGGGAGTGCACGCCTCTTATGCTTAACGTGAGGACTGAAAGGACGCATGAAACAGTGTGTGGCAGTCATTTGCTCTAAGAGTAGCAAGCCCAGAAGTTAGCATGTCCCAGAACCAAACAAAGTGCACCTTGAACAAAGTCGACTGAACTTGATAGACACAGGCCTTCAACAAACTTCTGCTGAAAGAGCTCATCTCCTATTTTAATAATTGCCCCTGAACATTCAGTATTTTATGCTACCGTAATGGAATAGCGTCTGTTCACCTGCTCTCTGTCATCTTCAGGAGCATTCTGAGTGAATGTGGGACAAACAGGCAAATTAAGTGGTATTTATATTTTTCTCAGGAACAAATCTCAAGCCACTAATAGTGTTGTTCAAGCGAGTAACATCAAAGAACAAGAACACCGCTGGAGGGAGGAAAGTGATGCTTTGGAGGTGCTCTGCATGTTTAATTTAAAATAAAGAGAAGAGTCTCTGCTCTTCTGCAGAGACAGGGCTGGCACCTGACTAACAGGGCCACGCAGGCTCAGCAGAGGAGGAATCTTGCCACGAGTTCCTTCAGTGAGAAGAGAAATCCTTTATTATTGGAATCACACCCTACCTTTTCCCTCTTTCCTATATTTGGCAAGACTGTTAAAACTCCAGATGTCCTCAAAGAGCTCTTTGCATTGGCAAGTAATCTCTCCGGAGACTTTAACAATCCTTCTTCCGTCCAGTGATCCCCAAACCTGGCTGCCCAACAGATCACATGAAGAGCATTAAAAAAAATCCCAAGTCCAGGTCTTGCCCCATGTCAATTAAATCAGAATGTCTGGGGGTGGGAGCCAGACACTGGTTTCTGTTTTGGTTTTAAAAAATCCCAGGTAATTCTAAACTGCAACAAGATCTGGGAACCACTGTTCTGTGCCTTGTCCCTCCCCCAACGACCGTGCTGGGCACCAAACCCCAACGCCTCATGCCAGTGACATCAACAGCAAGTACGGGCCTGGCTCCTGGAACCCGCGCAGCTCAAGGCTGGAATTGTGCAATTAAACCTGAGGCATGTTTCCCATGTCAAATGGGTTTATGGGGGTAGTCACGAAGCCAGACTCGCTCATGTTCTGTCTGGAGACTTGGCACACGTGAACCAGGGACATCAATCCGGTGTGTGTGAGTGTGTGTGTGTGTGTGTGTGTGTGTGTGTGACAGGTTTAATATTTTGGTTGGCCCAATGTCAAATTCTTCAAACAGCAAAGAGAAACATCCAAGAAAGAAACTCCCCGGGTTTTGAGAGGGCAAGTCTGCTGTGAGCCCCATTTTGAAACACCATGGTGTGGCCAGGACGGGCTCTGCTTCCGGAGCTTCCGCGCAAGAGTGCCGCGGTCCCCCCTGGAGTGGCCGGACAGCCGCGGCCCGTTCCACCGCGAAGCCCAGGCGCGACCGAAGGGCTGCAGGCGTGGAAGACCCGGACATCCCCGTGAGATGGCCAGCGAACCAGAGCCCGTGGCTTTCGGTGGGGGGCGCCCCGGAGGGAGGTCGGGTCCCCAGAGGGACACACCTGGACCGGCTGGACCAGGGCGCGCCAGGCGGGGCGAGCTGCTGGCCGGGGTCTGCACCCAAGGGGCGGGTCGGACCCCACCTGCCTTTTGCCAAGGAGGAAACTAACCGCCGCCAGCACCACCCCTTCCCGGGAGCCGCAGGTGGTGGCGGACGAGTTCTCCCAGCTCCCAGGTGGAGGCTGCGACTCCACTCGCGGGAACGAGGCTCGCGGGGGCTGGGAGAGGGGCCGGGGCCAGGCTGACCCACGCCGGCTTCAGCGTGAGGCTAGCGCGGAGGGCGGAGGCGGGGAGGTCAGCTCAGGAAGCCGCTTGTCCCGCGGGGTCCGAGGGGAGGCTGCATTCTCAGGGTCCTTCCTCAGCTTCCCTAAACCGCGCGGCCCCTGCGGGTGGGCAGCGCTGGCCCCTCGGGTGCGCGTTCCGACCCCGCCGCGCCCTGGGAGGACAACGCGCAGCACCATGCGGGACCCCGGTCCCCGGTGCCCACCGGCCCACGGACGCAGATCCTGCTCCGCGAAGCGGGAAAGTGAGGGAGAAAAGTTGGGAGCGGTCCGGGCCTCAGGAGGTGCCGGCGGCCGTTCTCCGCCCCGCCCGCAGCCCCGTGCCCTCCCCGTCTCCTCCTCCGCCCGCCGCGGAGTCTCCCGGCCGAGGAACGAAACGTCCCGTTCCTCCCGCGGTCCCGGCCGGCAGCGCAGCTGATCTCAAGGAAACAGGAAAGGACGGGCGGGGGCGCGGGGCACCGAGCCGGTGCGCTGGTGCGCTGCGGGGCTGGCTGCGGGGTCCGGGGCGCGCTCCGGGGGCGGCGCGGGAGCCGGGGGGACACGCCCTTACCTTTCTTTTCCTCCAGAGCCAGACTCGCTGGGCAGAGCGCAGCCAGCAAAGCCAGGAGCGCGGCCCCGGCCGTCCCGGAGGGTCGCATCGCTGCTCCCCGAAGAGCTCGCTCCGGCGCTCCCGGATCAGTCCTGGACGGAGTCAGGCGGCGGTGCGCGGTGGCTGTGGCGGCGGCGAGGCGGGGACTCGGGCGGACGCCGCCGAGGTGGCCTGTCGTCCGGGCTGAGCGGCGGCGGCCCCCGGGGCTCGCTCGGGACTCCGGCCGCTTCGCCGCGGCGGGCGCTTACACCGTGCGGGGGGCGGAGGCTGCTGCGGCCGCGCGGCGCGGGGGCTGCCCGGACGTCTAGCTCGCGCGGGCCGGGGCGTGGGGAAGGCTGGGCGGGAGGAGGAGGGACCAGGCGGCGGAGGAGGGATCGGGAGGAGCAGAGGAGGAGGAGAATGCGAGGAGGAGGGACGAGAACCAGCAGCGGGGACCCAAGGCCAGCGGCCGCGGGAGACGGTGGACAGCGGTGGGCCCCGCGGGACTCGGGCTCCGGCAGGAAAGGGGCGGCGCGCGGGAAGGGAGCTGGTGCCCTGAGGAGTTAATTTCCGAAGGGGGCGTTCCCAGCACTGCCCCTCTGGACGCAGTTTCCACGGACTTGCAGGCCCAGCTTATGTCGAGGTCGAGCCAAATCTGTGCCAGGGTCCCCTTCCCCCTCTCCCTTCTTTTGTTTTACAAAGCAAACTTGTACCAGCTTTGGACAGATTGGCCAAGCCCTAGAGCCGGCGTCGGATAATGGCACCGACGGGGAAACTGCTCCTTTATTCTCGTCCTCACCTCCCCTGCAGCACCCCAGGACCCTCGCGGGGCTCAGAGGCTGGCCTGGCAGCTGAGGCGGTGGCCGTGCCTGCGCGGCAGTGGTGCCAGGCGTCCGAGGTGCTGATGCAAAGTCCGAGGGTCCTTCGGATCCCGTGAAGCACCCTCGCAATTGAATGAAATGAGGGCACTGAACTCCGAGCGCAGATACAGACTTCCTCAATGTTTACTGCAACCGGCCATGGGTACTTTGAAGCCAATGTGTGAGGCACACATTGGAAAGGCACACATTGGCTTCACAAAGGGAAGCTCTTGGAATAAAGGCTTGACACAGCCGTGGAGATACTTTTAGAGAGGCTAAGTGTCCCACTGCCCTGGTAGCTCCCACAGGAGAAATGCCAGGGAAATTCGCTGAGGCTTTGGCTAGAAGAAACTGAGCCGCTTTGGGCTGCAGGAACTTGAGCTACATTCCTTCTGCAAGTCCACCCTATCCCCACTGTTCCTTCTTTTACAGGAAAAATGTCCTCTAGGTCCATGTTACAGACCCCTCCTCTCCACAAGGTTCACTAAGACTTTCAGGCCTGATTCAACAACCCCGATTTTCCGGCTCTGTCAGGAACCACAATCCTGAAGTAAGTGGAGCCACAGACCTGCCCTTTGCTGTCTCTGGAGGGGAGCAACCTTACTTCTTTCCTTCCCATCCAGCAAAGTGTTTGTGCCTGAGTTTCACACCCTGCAGCCTGAACGGTGGGGTTTTCAGCAGGGCAAGCGCAGACACGGGGTTCCTCACCGTCGGCCCAGCCTGGAACTTCCCCTGTGAATCAGGAGAAGTAATTTGTTCCTTTGTTTTAAGGAATCAGGACAGCCACTGCGGGTTGAAGTCAGCCCCTGGATGCAGAGGCTGTGAAGGCTTTGCAGGCACGTGTGTGCTTCCTCCACATATGCACACCTGGCCTGAGAGCAGTCCAAATAGAAACACAGAGAAAACAAAACCAGGGAATGGCAAACGGGAAGCACAACAGTGGAACATAAAATGAAGACAGGAGTGGGTCTTACAATAAAAGACATGAATACTGTGAAGTCCTGTGCATTCAGTTAACAAGGACCACTGCATTTTCTGTCAAGGGAATGTGACTTGTGTGCACAAGTCATAACACAAATCAATTTAAGTTGAGAAATGTTGAGTATATGATAAAAATATATTGTTTGCTAAGAAGAATGATGGCAAGGAAAACCTAGCTGTCCCCCTCAGCCCCCACCAAGTGGAAAAGTGCTTGGGGCATTCTAAAGCAGCAAGACAGAATATGTAAATCATACACCGATTAAAACAATTCTTTAAACACGGGATATGTGACCCTGTGGTGGCTCCCTCGTGGAGAATACTTTCTAGTCTGTCCTTGATCAGTGGTAAGCAGGCACCAGCTGCTTACCTAGTTTATCTTGGTTCTGTGAGAAAACACGGAACACTGGCTTGTTAATAACTACGTGGGTCAGAGTCTGCTGGAGGCCCTCAGCCTGGAATGCTGTCAGCCCCTGAGGCTGTCAGCTCGGAAGGCTGCTGGCCCCTGGATAGTCCCACTTTGCTGTTGTATCTGGATGTCAGCTTCTTAATGCCTTCAGCACCCCCTGGGTGGTGGTCTCTATGGCTGAGCTGGACTCGGTAAATTTAAGCTATACCTGAATTTTAAGACTGCATTGGAATTTCTTGAGTGCCCCAAAACACGGTGTGTAAGAACATTAGTTCTCACTGCTTTAGGACTTTATGAGAAAACAGCCTTCATAGGGCAGCTTGTATATTGTTCACTGTGATCCGATGGCATCACAAGAAACGGGGCTTTTGGTAAAGAGTTACTAGAGACACACAGCGCACTCCTGGGATGGATTCCAGTGAACGGAGAGGAATGGGTTTGCTGAACATCTTCCTGTGAAATCTATGTAAAGTTTGCCTTTCTTCTTTGAGCTTTTGGTATAAAAACTGACATTCAGGCTGACTTTGTAGTCATTGGCCAGTAACTGGAGTGTGCTGATAACTGTGTTACTTGGTAAGTGAAAACTGTGGCTGAGCAGGCAGTAATGACGTCTTCCTGAGAGGGCTAAGGAACCTGGTACGGGAGGCCCTGAACAGCAGGGCTCCAGCTGACAGTCTCTGTAGAGCATGGTCCCAGACCATCACCGGGAAAGAGGCCGGGTGCCGTGTGCCACCACCACAGGATGACAATAGCAGCCCAGGTGCTGTGCTAAGCATTGGTCAGACTAAGCTTAACTGAAAACCTATGAGCTGGTTAATACTTGTATCTGCCTTTTATAGCAATGTGATGCTTTGACCAGGAGAAGTGGCCAGGATCTCAAAGCGTACTTGCTAGTATGAGAGGCAACTCTGAACCCAAGGCAGAGCCATGTTCTGTCCCCCTTGTACTGCACTGCTTATAAACCTGAGACAAATGATAATGTCAGGACCTAAAATTCTACTTCAAAATAGAATTTTAGAATAGAGGAATACCAACATCTCTGCTTGGCCAAAAAAATTCTAGATAAAGCCTTCATGTATGCCATATTAGCAAGTATGTACTAAGACTCTAGTATTTCCCTTAATAAATCTCGTGTCTGTCAATTTTAATAACACAGATGGATTCGTCCTTTTGCCAGCTGTACATGATAAAATTTTTTTTCCTCTGATGAGTGGTTACCCTCTTAAAAGAAGTTTCTGAGTATGTTGAATAAGAGTTTAGTCTTGTCTATAAGGAACATGGCTCTGAATTTCCTAAAACCAAATGCTTTGTGGAAGGGGAGGAGAAACAGGTTATTTGGCAGGGTGAAGACATGAAGGCTTGAAATATTCTAAGTTCCGTCTTAGGAAAAGGCATTTGACCACCTGTTTTCTCTGGCTTAGAGGTCAAAGCAAAGATTGATTAGGAAAAAAAAAAAAACACACATGGCAGATTTTAGACTTTCAAAAGCTAGGTTTTGTAAACTGCCCGAGCTATATAAAAGTAGAATAAGCTATTTCAGAGTGGAAAGTGCTTTTTATCTTCAGAAAGTTTTTGTGCAAGAGCAGTAAGTACCAATGGAGGTTGTGAATAAAGGACTGACACAGATTCCTTCCAACCCTAAAGTTCTTTAAGAAAATGCACTTCTAAAATAGGTTTTCCTTTAAACACATGTTCACTTGACAGCTCTTCTAAGAATATATGTTAAGGAGACATAAGAATCTGGTAACCGCTTTGCCTCTAGGGAGGAGAATTAGGTGGCTGGGAGTCAGGGATTTGGAGGGAGACTTGTGTTTCAGTTGTTTGTCCATCTCTACTATTGAGATTTTGTACTAGGAGCATGCATCACCTATTTCTGCAAGGTAACTGCAGCCCCTGCTAAGGTTCAAGGGCACTCCTGGGGGCAGACTCTCAAGGTTTCTGAGACTGTTTATTCCTTCTCCTTGAGGGAAGTCATTTGCCTTGAACTCTGAGTTGAGACTCGTCTCTAGCTGAATGTGGAAGAAGCAGCTTTTTCAAGGAATAATGTGTAGAGAGAAAACTGCTGAACCGTTTCTCCTTTGCATGCTTAATCATCTCTAGAGCTGAGGGTTACATGTCACTGTAAGGACAATCGGCACTCCATTCCAGCAACAAGTAGAAGGCTGAGCAAGCTGAAAAATTAACACCTCTTCTTAGATCTTTCGGAGAATTGAGGTCATAGGGCAAACCACTGTCCCCCAAATTGGAGAGACAGGCAGACACAAAACCACAACTTCCAGGAACAAAACCCAGCAGACAGAAACCTCCAAGGACCCAGTGCCGGATGGGAAAGTTTGCCCTGTAATTGAGAAATTGCAAGAGGCTCAGTGTGGGCAGCTCTTCGAGTTAAGAACTCCAGCGGAGCTCAGTCATGGGGCAGGGTGGTATGAGACACTTGAGAGTGTTACCTCCTGGAGCTCTGCCAGATCCTTACAACAAATATTAGGGGAAAAATCTCATCATGCTTCTGGCAGTGGGAGGAGAAGAGGAATCATTTTGAAATAGGTCGGCCCAATCCAGAATGCAGTGGCATGATCTCAGCTCACTGCAACCTCGACCTCCTGGGCTCAGGTGATCTGCCAATCTCAGCCTCCTGAGTAGCTCTGACTACAGGCATGCACCACCACATCTAGCTAATTTTTTGTAGAGATAGAGTTTCGCTGTGTTGCCCAGGCTAGTCTTGAATTCCTGAGAGATGGAAGTTTGTTTTTTTTTTTTTTTTTCCAGGAACTAAAGCTGACTTTATGGAGCCAAGGCTTACAAAGCCCTCTTGGGGAAAATACACCAGGGTACCAGGCTTACAGCATTCCCTGCCTTACAGATGAGTAAGAAAGGTCACTTCCTGGCCCAGGAAACTTAAATCATCTTAGGGACTCTGAAAAGAGAGTCATTCACCCAAATCTCTAGGTATTGAAGGTGAAGTCTGGTGTTGAGTTCTTGGCTTGACTTTGTAACCTCAAGTAGCTTTTAAAAGTTTAATATGGAGGGACTCCATGTTTGGGTCCCCTTCCACGAACACTCCCCTTGTGGATGCCTGTCTTCCCCTCCTAAACTCCATTTCTGAGGGATGGAAGTTTTAAGAAAGAATTTAAAAATTCTAGAGATCAAAAACACTGTAAAAGAAATGTAGAATGCTTTTGAAGTACACATTAGTGGGCTGAACATGCTTGAGGAAAGAATTTCTGAACTTGAAGATATGTAAACAAAAACTGCAAAAATTGAGAAGCAAAAAGAAAAATGACAAAAAGAACAAAACAAAAATTTCAGGAACTGTGGGATAATTACATGTAATGGGAATACTGAAAGTAGATGAAAGAGAGAAAGGAGCAAAAGCAATATTTAAAGCAGTAATACTGAAAATACCTTCAAATTGATGTCAGACAACAAATCACAGATTCAGGAAGCTCAGATAACATCAAGAAGATACACGTCAAGAAAATTCAAACAAACAAATCATACCTAGGCATATCATATTTAAACTTCAGAAAATACATAATTAAAGAAAAATTCTTAAATGTAGCCAAAGGGGAAAAAAACACTTACAGAGGAGCCATAAGAAAATACCTAGAGAGAAAATTAGAATGATATTCAATGTATCCTCAGAAATCATGCAAGCAAGAAGAGAATGGAGTGAACCGATATATGTCTTATTCTGCTTGGGCTTCTGTGACAAAATACCATGAGATGGTTTACTTATAAACAACAGAAATGTATTTCCTACAGTTGTGGAAGCTGGGAAATCCAAGATCAAGTTATGTGCAGATTTGGTGCCTGATAAGGGCCCACTTCCTCATAGATGGCCATAATTTCACAGTGCCCTCTCATGGCAGGAGGAACAAGACAGCTCTCTGAGGTCTCTTATGGCACTAACCCCATTTGTTAAGGGCTCTACCCTCATGACATAATCCTTTCCCAAAGATACTCTCTCCTAATAACATCATTTTATGAGTTTAAATTTCATCATGTGCATTTTAGGGGTACATAAAAATTCAGTCCATTGAGGTATATTTAAACCACTGACATTTAAGGTAATTATCGACATAGTTGGATTAATATCTACCATATATATATATATATATATATATATATATATATATTATTGCACTTTAGGTTCTGGTGTACATGTGCAGAACATGCAGGATTGTTGCATAGGTACATACGTGGCAATGTGGTTTGTTGCCTCCATCCCCCTGTCACCTGTGTCTGGCATTTCTCCCCATGTTATCCCTCCCAAACTCCCTACACCCTGCTGTCCCTCCCCTAGTTCCCCACTACAGACCCCAGTGTGTGATGCTCCCCTCCCTGTGTCCATGTGTTCTCATTGTTCAACACCCACCTATGAATGAGAACATGCAGTGTTTGATTTTCTGTTCTTGTGTCAGTTTGCTGAGAATGATGGTCTCCAGATTCATCCATGTCCCCACAAAGGACACAAACTCATCATTTTTTATGGTTGCATAGTATTCCACGGTGTATATGTGCCACATTTTCTCTGTCCAGTCTATCATCGATGGGCATTTGGGTTGGTTCCAGGTCTTTGCTATTGTAAACAGTGCTGCAATGAACATTCGTGTGCATGTGTCCTTATAGTAGAATGATTTATAATCCTTTGGATATATACCCAGTAATGGGATTGCTGGGTCAAATGGAATTCCTATTTCTAGGTCCTTGAGGAATCACCACACTGTCTTCCACAATGGTTGAACTAATTTACACTCCCACCAACAGTGTAAAAGCTTTCCTATTTCTCCACATCCTCTCCCGCATCTGTTGTCTCCAGATTTTTTAATGATCATCATTCTAACTGGCATGGGATGGCATCTCAGTGTGGTTTGATTTGCATTTCTCTAGTGACCAGTGATGATGAGCATTTTTTTGTTTTTTGGCCTCATATACGTCTTCTTTTGAAAAGTGTCTGTTCATGTCCTTCACCCACTTATCATAGTTATTACTATTTTCTATTTGCTGCCCTTGCTCCTCTTTTCTTCCTTTCTCTTTATTTATTAATTTATTTATTTTAGAGGTAGGGTCTAATGGCCTTCTAGGTAGGAGTGAAATGACACGATCACAGTCCACTGCAGCCTCAAACTTATAGGCTCAAGTGATCCTCTCATTTCAGCCTCCTGAGTAGCTAGGACTACAGGCACATGCCACCATGCCTGGACTTTTTTTCAATTTTATTATGTTTTGTAGAGTTGGGGCCTTGCTATGTTGCCCAGGCTGTGTCCCCCTTGGCCTCCCAAAGTGTTGGGAGGAAAAATCTACAGTAACTGATTTTAAAAGTTATAAAAGGATATAATCGCTATGCTAAGAAAAGAGAGGCAATTGAATTATACAAAATGCTATGTAAAACCTAACAATTTAATATGAGAATTGAATTATACAAAATGCTATGTTCAACATTTGAAAAATCAATTAATGTAGTCCATCACATCAACAGATCATATCAATAGATACAGAAAAATTACATGATCTTATCAATAGATACAGAAGAAAACATTACACAAAATCCTATACCCATTCATGACAAAAAATCTCAGCAAACTAGTAATAGAGGGGGATTTCTTCAACTTAATAAAGAAGAGCTACAAAAACCTATAGCTAAAAACAGGAACAAGGCAAGGATGTTTGCATTCCAACTTTGTATTAGAAATCCTAGCTAATGCAATAACACACAAAAAATAAATAAAATGAATACTGATTGAGAGGGAAGAAATAAATCTGTGTTTGTTCACTGATAACATAATTAATTATCTCTTAGAAAATCCAAAGAACCAACAAAAAAGCTCTTAGAACTAATAAGCAGTTATAGCAAGTTTGCAGAATACAAGGTTAATATACAGAAGCCAATCACTTTCCTATGTACCACAAAGAACTAAGGGAATTTAAAATTAAAAACACATTACCATTTACTTTAACACCCTCAAATGGAATACTGAGGTATGAATATAAGAAAGTAGGTATAAGATATATAAGAAAAAAACAACAAACTCTGGTGAAATATATCAAATAACTAAATAAATGGAACAATAGTTTGTTTAAAGAGAGACTTCATAATGTGACTATGTCACTTATTCCCAACTTGATCTGTAGATTAATCGCAGTCAAAATCCCAGAAGGTTGTTTTGTAAATATTTACTAAATGATTCTAAACTTTATATGGGCAAGCAAAAGACCCAAAATAGCCATCTCAATATTGAAGAAGAACAAGATTGGAGGATTGGCACTACCTGACGTCAAGACATATACAACTAGAGTAGTCTGGACTGTGTGGCATTGGTGAAAGAATACACAAATACATCAATAGAACAGAGAGAACAGAAACTGACTCACATAAATTTAGTCAACTGACCTTTGAGAAAAGAGAAAAACAATACAATAGAGAAATATAGTCTTTTCAACAAATAATGCTGGAACAAATGGACATCCACATGCAAAAAATAAATGTAGATACAAACCTTACACACTTCATAAAAATTAACTCAAAGCTGATTGTACATACAAATGTTAAATGCAAAACTGTAAAACACCTAGGAGATAATGCAGGAGAAAACCTAGATGACCTTAGGTATGACAGTGACTTTTTCAGTGCAAAACCAAAGGCACAATCCATGAAATGGATAATTTATAAGCTAGAGTTTATTAAAATTAAAAGCTTCTGCTCTCAGAAGGACGAAGTCAAGAGAAAAAGACGAACCATATACTGGAGGAAAGTTTACAAAATAAACATTTGATAAAGGATGGTTATCAAAAATATACAAAGAACTAGACTCTTAAAACTTAATAATAAGAGAATAAATAAGCTGATTTTTAAATGAGCAAAAGCCCTACACATAAACCTCATCAAGGAAGATACACCAATGGCAAATAAGCATTTAAAAAGATGTTCAACATCATATGTATATTGGAAATTGCAAATTAAAACAATAGTGAGATACCACTACACATCTATTAGAATGTAAAAAATTCAGATCAGTGACAACACCAAATTCTGATGAGTAAGCGAAGCAACAGGAAGTCTCATTCGTTGCTGATGGGAAGGCACAATGGTGCAGCCACTTAGGAAGGCAACTTAGCAGTTTCCTATAAAAGTGTACATACTCTTACCATGTGATCCAGTGATTTCTCTCCTTGGTGCTTACCCAAATGAGTCGAACACTGTTGTCCACATAAATCTGCTCATGAATATTTATAGCAGCTTTATTGATAATTTCCCTAACTTAGAATCAGCTAAGATGCCCTTGGGAGGATGAGCGGATAAACAAACTATGCAGACAATGGATTGTTAATCTGTGCTAAAAAGAAATATGCTATCGAGCCATGAAGAGAGATGGAGGATGCTTAAGTGCATGTTGCTAGGTGAAAGAAGCCAATCTGGAAAGGCTACATACTTTGTGACTCCAGCTGGTCATGTGCCACATAATGACATTTCGGTAAACAATGGAACCCATATACAATAGTGGCTTCATAATCTTTTTACTGTACTTTTTCTATGTTTAGATATACACATATTTACCATTATGTTACAATTACCTACAGCATTCGGCACAGTAACATGCCAGATAGGTCTGTAGCCTAGGAATTTAATTAATGGCAACATTTAAATATCAGAAGATTTTACATTTTAAGTGTAGATTTTGTGTTTCTCTTGAAAAATGGGAATTGTTGGCCAGCTGTGTCTGCTTTCATGGAAGATGGCAAGTGCCTAAATGGTAACCATCCCCCTTAGAGGTACGTTTGATCTCCAGTTCACACTGGAGCTGCCGTCCTGATTCTCTTGTTCATAGGTCTGTGAGGTCACTGCAGGCATTCGAGTTTGCCGCTCTTGTCTCCCTGGTTAAGTCATGGTAGGGCCACTTCTTTATAAGTATGCCTCCTATCTCTGCTTTCCCTTCTCCTTATCTTTCTTTCTTAACTCATCTCCCTCTCTCATTTCATATGTGTGTATATATGTTTTTGTTGACAGATTTTTGTCCAGAGGCCATAATACATTGTATATCATGATACCTCTCTTTAAATTGCATAATTCAAATATGGAGTAATATTCAAGCACAAATATTTATCGCTCATGATTATCCTTATAGGAAGACTTTCTAAAAACCAATTAAACATTCCAGAAGCAAATTCAGTCCTATTGCAGAATGAAGGACCTACTCATTAATTTATGGTACATGTGAAATGACCACGTTCCATGAACTGACCGTGCCCTGGCTTTGCAGGTAATCAGGGGTGGGGGATGGAGGTTTAGGAAGGTCGCTGGAGTCAACTTCACTGCCAACCTTACAAAGCAGCAAGTTTTGTCTGGCTAATTTGTCTATAAACTAATAAGTGAGAATGGGTGCTTACTAGGACACAACTAAAGTGACATTTTGAAGCATTTTAGCTATGTCTGACTTCACTATTTTAATTATTGTAATGATGTCTTGCCTTATGTAATAAAGGTCCTAGAGCGAAGACATATGTCAAGCTTATATTCTTCTAAGGAGAAATTCAAGACAGGTCACCAACTGAGAAAATTTTGTCACTATTTTTTTTTTCACAAGGAATATAAATGGAGAGAATGAAGCTTTCACCGATACTTCAATCGCCTTTGAGAGGAGGTCTTCAGAAGTCACAGTCCAAGTGGCATTTTTAGATGGCAGACGATCTGGAGGGTCTGCAAGGTCAAAAATATTGTAGGTTAAAAATGACAGGGCTAGAGAAATCCAAAGCAAATTGGTGTTCTATTTCTGCAATTGAATGGAAAATTAGAGTTTCTAGGGCCCCTCCAAAAACTCAGCAGAAATTCTTGCAGTTGTTACTTTGGAAGAACTGAGCTCACAAAGCCTGAGTCATTGAAACAGACCTGGGAGGGACCTCACAGGTAGTACTTTGCCATTTTTTAGATGTCAAGGTAAGCACCTTGTCCAAATTAATTGTTTCAGAAAGAGACAAAGCGTTGATCAAAATATTTTATTAATAAAATAAAACATATTTTTGAGGGTTGTTGGCTATTTTATTAAAACTGGGAATTGGAGTAAATGACATTTACTTAACACTCATTTACCAAGAGCTGGAGGTGGCAGGGGACACAAGGTCACTCATCAGTTTCTGCCCTTGCAGAACTTATAGTCAACCTACAAAAAGTCACCTAAGCTGACCAGGTGTGTGTGTGTGCGTGTGTGTGTGTGTGTGTGTGTAAGACTTGAAATCTTTCTACTCTTCCATAGTCATCAATTTCACTGGTTTCTCAACACCATAAAAAGGATATTTGTTATTCACTGCTAAAATAAACATCAAACTTAACTAGTTAGTGGTGACACAAGCATTAGAATAGTCAGTGCCTGCATTTAGGGAAATTGCTGTGTCATTGGAGATTAGGGAGGTGTTCTGACACCATGGCATTTAGTTTTGTCACCTGCTAAGATCATTTGGCAGGTGTGCACTGCCTTTCCTTCTTAGTAATCTCACTGAGGCCAGTTAATTGTAGCCTAAAGGAGCAGTGCAGACCGTTTCTGTGATTAGGAGCATCTGGTTTTTCTCCCCATTGGTGGATGGTTCTTGGCGGTCCTTGCAAGTTAGCTGCAGGCTTGCATAACCTGCTGATGAAAGGACTCCTGTCACTCTGGGACAGAGGCTCCCAGAACCTGGTCATGCCTCCCCAGGTCATTTCCCCCTCCCTCTTCTTGGCCATCGACCTCCTTTTCAGCCTGGGTCCAGAGGGAGGGGACCAGCCCCTTGGGCTGGACTCCTAGGTTGCATTTTGATG